CCGATACAACTCTACGCACGCTTGACGTTCGCTTTACCTAGAACAAGTATGAAACTAGAAGTACTTTGTAGGTGTTGTTGGATAGGTTTGCAAGATAATAAAGAGTACGTAAATAAAAAGTAGGGGCTGTTTAGATAAAGACACAACTAAATTGGTTTTAGTAAAGAGCTTTTGTCAACAAGAAGGTTATTTGTCCCTAGGCAATCGATAACTAGACCGGTAATCATTATTGCAATTTTATTTGAGGGAGAGGCATAAGCTAACATACTTTCTCTACTTGGATCATATGCACTTATGATTGGAACTCTAGCAAGCATCCGCAACTACTAAAGATTCATTAAGGTAAAACCCAACCATAGCATTAAAGTATCAAGTCCCCTTTATCCCATACGCAAACAACCTACTTACTCGGGTCTGTGCTTCTGTCACTCACGCCACCCACCATAAGCAAATCATAAGCATATTGCAAACCCTACAACGGGAATCCCTCACGCTTGCGCGACACGGAGAGCACCATAGGACAGCACCAATAATAAAACATACAACTCAAACCAATCACGATCATCAAATAGCCATTAGGACAAAATAGATCTACTCAAACATCATAGGATAGCCATACATCATTGGGAAATAATATATAGCGTTGAGCACCATGTTTAAGTAGAGATTACAGCGGGTAAGAGAGAGGTTACACCGCTGCATAGAGGGGGGAAGATTTGGTGATGATGGCGGTGAAGTTGTTGGTGAAAATGGCGGTGATGGTGATGGCCCCGGCAGCGCTCCGGCGCCACCGAAAGCAAGGGGGAGAGGGCCCCCCTTCTTCTTCTTCTTCCTTGACCTCCTCCCTAGATGGGAGAAGGGTTTCTCCTCTGGTCCTTGGCTCCCATGGCGTGGGAGGGGCTAGAGCCCCTCCGTGATTGGATCTATCTCTCTGTTTCTCTCTGGTTCTGCGTTCTCTTCTGACTCTGTTTCACCGTTTCGTGTATATATGGAGATCCGTAACTCCGATTGGCCTGAAACCTTCGCCGTGATTTTTTCTGAAAATTAGCTTTCTTGCGGCAAAAGAAGAGCGTCAACCGCCTTACGGGTGGCTCACAAGGGTAGGGGGCGCGCCCAGGGGGGTCAGGCGCGCCCCCTACCTCGTGACCACCTCGGGCACCGTCTCGCGTGGATTTTTCTTCCGGAATTTTCCAAATATTCCAAAAATAAGCTCCATCCGTTTTTATCCCATTTGGATTCCGTTTGGTATGGATATTCTGCGAAACATAAAACATGCAAGAAACATGAACTGGCACTGGGCACTGGAGCAATATGTTAGTCCCAAAAATAATATAAAAAGTTGCCAAAAAGTATATGAAAGTTGAATAATATTGGCATGGAACAATCAAAAATTATAGATACGACAGAGACGTATCAGCCCCCTCCTTCCTTCTCTTCTCTTTTCCCTTTCCTTCTCTCCTACTCCTACTACATGGAAGGGGGGGGGGGGAATCCTACTCCCGGTGGGAGTAGGACTCCCCAGGGCGCGCCATAGTAGAGGGCCGGCCCTCCCCCTCCTCCACTCCTTTATATACGGGGGAGGGGGCACCCCATGGACACACAAGTTGATCAGTTGATCTTTTAGCCGTGTGCGGTGCCCCCCTCCATCATAATCCACCTCGGTCATATTGTAGCGGTGCTTAGGCGAAGCCCTGTGTCGGTAGCATCATCATCACCGTCATCACGCCGTCGTGCTGATGGAACTCTCCCTCGAAGCTCTGCTGGATCGGAGTTCGTGGGACGTCACCGAGCTGAACGTGTGCTGAACTCGGAGGTGCCGTGCGTTCGGTACTTGGATCGGTCGGATTGTGAAGACGTACAACTACATCAAACGCATTCTCATAACGCTTCCGCTTACGGTCTACGAGGGTACGTAGATGATACTCTCCCCTCTCGTTGCTATGCATCACCATGATCTTGCGTGTACGTAGGATTTTTTTTGAAATACTATGTTCCCCAACATTGGATGGCCGGCTTCCGCAACTGTGTCCGTTGACAGGTCATCCTATTCGCCGACGGATGCGGGAGCAAATTTATGGGTCGTCGTTGGAGATTCCCTTACCCCCAAAAATATTCACAGGTTTCTGTTGCGCTATAATTGCCTTGTCCAGCCAAGAACCAGCTAGACTTCAAGTCATGTTCTTGTTGCAATGGAATGTGGGACTAGTCATGGGCAGATCCATGGCACCCCCTTTGAATATGCAAATAATTTACGTTGTATGTCTGAGGCTAATTGTCTAAGAACATCTTCGATGCTGACCCCTAAAATCGATACTATATTTTTTCATGGACTGGTTCCGACAATCTGTGAACACGGGTGCGGGAGCCGTTCATCCAACCACATCCCCTGAACCTCCATGGTCATTTTCATTTAGCAAGGTAAAGTGCAGTTTTCATAACACCCGATCACAACAAAAAAGACTTGATGTTCATAGTTTTTACATGCGCCCCATCACAAAAGTATCAGGCCGATAGTCAGTGGAAAAAATGATTGTTTCCCCTGCCGTACTTGCTATCCGAGCCTACGCGCTCATTGTGCCACCGCCTCCTCCTCACCATCAGGCTCCTTCTTGGCCGCCTCTAGCTCGGCCGACAAGCACTTCAACATCTTAACAAGGATGACAGCATGATCATCGCCACATCCTCATCCATCTCGTTCATCTTCATGGTCAACATCTTCGTATCCTCCGAAGAGCCCGCGAGCTCAACCGTCCACTCTTCGAGCTGGAGCTTCTTCTCGGTGGTCACCATGAAGATGTTAAACCTCTTGACCTTATTTTTCTCCTTGACGCCGGAAGTCTTAACACATGCCTCCTCCTTCTTTGCCAATATGTCCTCGAACCTACCACATGACACATGAGGTAAGCAAGTCAAAAAAAGGTGTCCTCAAACCTCCACCATCTTGATTGGTGCCTCTTCTCTCTTTTCCTTCTCATCCTCCCACTTCTTTCTCTGGAACTCTCTTCTAATCTTTTTGCCACTCTTGTTGGGTCAGTTGGATCACTCGCTTCTTCCTCCATGCTGATGCAAACGGTCTTAATGGAGTTGACAATGGATAGTTGCCACTTGGGGGTGCCCCATTCAACTTCAATAAATAATGCATGAGGATGAGGATCCTCTTCTCCACCTTCAAGAACAAGTTACACGCACAAGAGGGCTGCAAAGAAAAACATTGTCAGTAAGGTGCATATCCATCCAAATGACCAACACATAGAGTATAACCGGCCAATAAGTTGCATATCTGGCTAAATGACTAACACATAGAGCATGTCCGGTCAAATGGCTAACACATATAACAACTTACTTGCTCGGTGATTAGCGCACCATTTGGCCACCGTCCGATTATTTATTTCAGATGGCCGCGATACTTGCTCGCGGCCTCTTGGATGATGTACCATCGATGTTGAGTGATTTGATCCCATGGTTGTAGATGAGTTCGTTGATGTAGGGGTCAAAATTATTGTGCTCATGGAACCAAGTACGAATGTTGGCCCAAAATGTTGTGCCCTTTTGCTCCGTGCCCTGGATCAGATCAATGCTAGTGATCAACCATGAATCACACAACAATTCATCTTATCGCATGTTGAAGATTTCTTCTCTACTCATCTTCTTTGGATTGGCAAAAAATTCCTCCGGATCAAGGTCATCATCGTTGTCCTGCTCCAGCTGGCCGGTGTAGGGTGTACGTGTTGGACTGGATGTTTGTGCCCGACTGCTAGGTGCACACCTCCGGCTCCGATTCATCCACCTACTTGTCCTCAAAGCAGCCTCTGCTTCCTACGTCGTGGATCATCTCCATCATCTTCTTGTTTGCGTCATCGTACGCCGGCTCGCCTGGTTGAGACATACTGATAAACTGAGAGCGGACACCGAGCTGATCCATGCTCGGCGTCCGTGATCAGACAAGTTTTGGCGATATCAACTCGGCAAAATGGAGCGGTCCCGCATTGACATCGACGTAATACGGCTAGTGCCCGACGACGGATGCTGGGGACTGCTAGCCGAGCTACTTGGCGGTGTAGAAGTAGGGAGGCTGGTATTGCTCCGGCCAGGGTGGCGTGCGCATGGATGGTGGCGGCGGCGACCCCCGTCCCAGGCTTCGCCCGGCCCCTGCACCCCATCCCAGGCCCCGCCAGTCACCATTCTTTTCGCTGCCTGCCCCATCCTTTGCCTTTGCCTTGAGGTGGCGGGCTTGCCGTGTCTCCGAGTTGATCTTCCGGGCCGCCACCTTCTCTGGATCCTCCACCTCCGCCGTCTCCAACAACTTTTCATATGGGTCCATGCAGCGGCGGTGAAAAGGGCGAGAATTGGTGTGGAGAGCGGTGGGATGGTAGTGGAGAGGGTGGAAAGGGGGAGGGGGGGGGGAGGTTGTCGCGGAAACAATACATCTCGCTCCAAATGCGCGTTCTCCGTCTCGGTTTTGGGTGGGCCGGGGTGTCGGATTCCTACGTGGCGGGTGTTTGGACTCCTGCAAAGGCCCCCTATTTGCTTCCAGTTTGCGGGAAAATGGACACCCGAACTGGTCCGCGGAGAAATGGGGGACATTATTCGATGGCTTGTGGCGTCCGGACAACTTTGTCCGGATGGTTACGTTTGAGGGTACGCGTTGCAGATACCCTAACCTCTTAATGCTATTTTAGGACATTTTTCAGAACAATAATGGTAATCTAGACCAATCTATAGTCTTTGGATTGTATTTTATGAAGTTTGAATCGTGGTATTGAAATTATGTTGTCTATGCATTATATTTGTATATAAACCGTGGGACTCCAGTGCTAAAGTTCATGGGCCCGCCACTGAAATTGGCATGGTCATTTGGAATCAGCTTCAGAATGTACGTATGCAGTAGGAACTCACAACCGGAACGTCCATATATAGTTTCCGACTTACAAACTGGAAAGAACAAATAAAACAAATTGTGGCACAAGAGGACGGATGGATGGATTACAAGTGGCGCACGCCTAGTAATTACGTCCAGGCCCTGTGCGGACCCTCGAGACGCAGTTCGAGCTGCTGTCCCCCTGGAGGACGTAGACCTGGACGTAGCACACCACCTCGACGGTGACGCTCACCTCAAACGCGCGCAGCACCAGCGCCTTCCCGTCCAGCCTCACCACCACCACGAACGGAAGCGCCCCGGCCACCACGTCGCTGGCGAAGTGCGGGCTCTCGGCCACCTTGATCCCGTCCACCACCGTCACCGGCGCCACCCACGTCGTCGTCCGCCTGCCGATTTTGCCGGCCGGCACCACCGTCGTCCCCACGGGTTCGCCGTGGTACGTCACCGCCGTCACCGTCTCCCCGTACCGGAACGGCGCGCGGCTTGGGTTGCTCGCCATCACGTGCACGCTGGCGGACAGCGTGAGCGACGGCGGGAGGAGGCTGAAGTCCTGGACGATGGTCTCCACGGGCGACGTCACCACGCGCGGCGGGAGCGGGCGGTACAGGATGTAGAGCACGATGGAGAGGATGCCCAGGATAACGAGAACGGTGAGCACCACGCAGCAGGACATGGCGTGATGCCTCTTCCTCCCCTTCATGGCCGCTGAATTCTTCACTCGACTCGATCGCCTACTTTCGGTATGGCCTGTATGTGTACCTGGTTGTCCTGCGTCGATTAGGATCTGGCTCCCGTTATATTTGCCACGTTTCTTGTTTGTATGTTTGGCGCGTGGTCTGAGATTTCTTGCCCATGGGTTTTCAGTCTGGTTGTTTAGAAATTCGTGTGCATCTTGGGAAGGAAATGGTTTGTTGGTCGTGCAGGCCTGCAGGGTACTGCGGTATGGTACAACTCACTCTGTTTTTTAGGCTCGGTTGGAGTATGCCTAAAACTGAAGGAGGGCTCGTTTGGTTCCTTTTGATTTGATAATGGAAATGCTATAAAAAACTAGGAGTGGTTTTCTCAAGAAACGCCTTTCGTACGTGGGTTCCGTACGTAAATCTTAAAACTACGAGAGCATCTATAGTCGGACGCCTCAAACTGACTTCCTCAAACCGACCTCATACATGCGGGCGGCCGCCCAGTCACTGTCTGATCACGTTTTTTTTTGACCCAGACCCCCCCCCCCCTCAAATGCCCGGGCGGACGGGTACCCCATGTCTAGCCTAAATATGAGGCGGGCACGCCCGTCATGTCGGATCCGACAGCCCGACCACATCCCAAATTGCACCAAATCCATCCTCCGAGCTGCCGGATCCATTTGCTCTCTCCTCTCTTCTTCGTCCTCCGTTCCGTCCGGTTCGCAGCTCCGCCGCGCGCGCGCGCTCAACAGCCGTTCCTTGCCTCTGTGCGGACAGCTCCAGCAGAGCAGTCCTCTCTCCCGTCCTCGCCGCGTGGGACGTCATCTCCGGCCTGGATGCCACCGCGGTACGTCCTGTAACTCTCTCGCTCCGCCTTGCGCTTGATGTGTTTGACACATTGTCTGACCGCATTTTTGTAATTTTGTTAGGAAAAACGATGGATTTCGATACTTCGTCGGACGAGGAGTATGGACTGACGGAGCTTGACCAAATCATTCAAGATGAGTTCTTCGATTCCTCGGATTCTGACGAAGAAGTGGACAATGATTATGCTCATGAGCATGCAAGAGGAAATGGACCGTCAAGTGAAGCATATTCTCAACTTCAAGGGCTCAATCAAAGGAAGAAGAGTGATCAACCGGAATAAGGTGTCCGAAGCAAACCTACTGTGCAGAGACTACTTTGCTCGCAAGCCCGCTTTTCCGGATGATCCATGGTTATGTTGTTCTGGATTAACAGAGAGGATCTGGCCAACCGGAAGAATATAATTTTATCTTCTTATGTTCATGGCCTGTGATCTTATGTTTTACTTGGGCTTATGTTGTTTGAAGGGTTATTTTAACTTAGACTACATTTATATCGTTCTTCCTAAATTAGGGCATCTACAACGGCAACCCTCAAACCGACTGCATACGTCCAGACTGTGTTGTACGGTCTGCGGAAGCAGGGACTTTGCGGGCGTCCGGACTGCTGCCACGCCCATTTTTGACTGCCCTGACCCACCCAAATACCCCACCCGCCCCTCCCGCATTTTCCATACCACGTGTCGCACCGCATTCATGCCTGCCCAAAGCATGCAGTGGCCAGCATTGATGCCTGTGATTTGACAGGATAAGAGGACGGCGCAGACAGGAGCAACCTTTTCACTACCGGCATTGAAGCGGCGCGTCAGCCGAGAGAGCGTCAGCCTCTGCTTGCCCGGCTGAACACGCCTCCTCGCCGCATTCAAACGGCCACAAATTGCCCGCCTTCTACTCCGGCCACAGTGAGATATTGTCTGTTAGTCTCAAGTAATCACACATCATAATAATAATTTTGTTAATGAAAAAGTGCAGCTAAAGCACTATATATTTCATGAATTCCAAATCATTATTCCACTTGTATCAGCAAAATATTCCAACATTATATACAAATGATGTTTTTCTTACTTTTGTTGTTCTATTCTTTTGTGTGCATATAAAATACAAGTCAACAAAAGAACTATCACACGGGAAAATTAAAAAATGTCCAACTAATACAACACATATGGTCCACAATTTCTTAAAACATTTATTCCACCACAAATGTCCCGTCGATTCTTAAAGCATTGTTGCACCACAAATGTCCCCCCAATTCTATATACTAGGTGATTTCCCTTAGCGTTGTGGCCAGAGTTTAAAGGTTAATTTTAGATGTATTATGTATGAAGAAAAAATCTAAATCAAAAGCTATAAATTTCTAATGTAGAAAATTTTCATACTTGCACTGTGTGAACAAAGAGTATGTAAGTGGTTTGCATGGAGGTGTAAAATAGTGTTAGTGGACTTGTTGAGGTGGAAAGTTGCATGTTGACAGAATTAGAGTGAGTGAGGACCAACTATTTAGGAATAGTGGAAAATATTCCAACATTATAAAAAAATGATGCATTTCTTATTTTTGTTGTTCTATTTGTTAGTCTGCATAGAAAATACAAGTCAACAAAAGAACTATCACACCCGACAATTAAAAACTGTCAACCTAATACTACGCATATGTCCCACCAATTCTTAAAACATCGTTCCACCACAGATGCACCATCAATAAAACACGTTAAGCTACGGGAGAATGGCGGCCAACAAGTATGGCCACATGGCACATGCTGGTTGGTCGTGGCAAAAAACTTTTTGATATTTTTGGAAGATGAAATTGAGAAACTTTTTGATTTTTTTGGAAGATGAAATTGAGATTTTTTTCTTTTGAGAAAATATTTTTTGGAGATTATTTTGAAAGATGAAAGTGAAACTTTTGTTTCTTTTTCATTTAAAATAATATTTTTAGGATTTTTTTATATGGATGTGATGTTTACGTGTTGTGAGAAAGTTTTTTTTTTCAATTTTGAGATGAAATTGAGGTTTTTTCTTTGAGAGGAAAAAATACACGCACAACTCCCTCTCAAGAGGCCCGCACTGGTGGGCCCCAACCACTAGTTCTTAATATGCTAGGTGATTTTCCCGCGCGTAATTTAAAGATTAATTTTAGATGTATATATGAAGAAAATGATCTAAAACAAAAGCTACAACTTTTTAATGTAAAAATATTTTGCACTTGCACTGTGTGTGCACAAAGCGTATACACGTGGTTTACATTGGGGTTGTAAAATAGTATTAATGGATGCTGACATGAAACACTTGATAAGATAAAAGGCCATATGTTAAGAGAATTAGAATTAATGGGATCAACTATTTAAAAATAGTAGATATTGCAACCTTAAATAAAAGTATTTTGTAGGTTCTAGGAAGTGTTTCATTTATACACCACAAATATATTTTGTAATTTTATCTTCTTTTGTTCATGGCCCTTGAGCTTACGTTTTACTTGGGCTTATGTTGTTGGAAGGGTTATTTTAACTTAGACTACATTTATATTGTTCTTCCTAGATTAGGGCATCTACAATGGCGACCATCAAACCGACATCATACGTCCAAACCGTGTTGTCCGGCCCGCGGAATCCATCCAACACGGCCCTGTATCGGTCCTCAGGGCAGTCGGCCGTATTTTCTCCCGCAAACCGGAGACAAACATGAGGGACTTTTTGCGGGTGTCCGCGCTGCTGTCACGCCGGTTTCTGACTACCCCGACCCACCCAAACACCCCACCCGCCCATCCCGCATTTTCTATCCCACGCGTCGCACCGTTTGTCGCGCCGCATTCATGCATGCCCAGAGCATGCAGCGGCCGGCATTAATGCCTGTTATTTGACCGGACAGGAGGGCGGCGCAGACTGACGCGACCTTTTCACTACCGGCATTGAAGCCGTGCGCCAGCTGAGAGAGCATCGCCCTCTCCTCGCCCCGCTAAACACGCCTCCTCGCCGCATTCTAACGTCCACAGACTGCCCGCCTTCTACTCCGGTCACAGTGAGATATTGTCTGTTAGTCTCAAGTAATCACACATCATAATAATAATTTTGTTAATGAAAAAGTGCAGCTAAAGCACCATATATTTCATGAATTCCAAATCATTATTCCACTTGTATCAGCAAAATATTCCAACATTATATACAAATGATGTTTTTCTTACTTTTGTTGTTCTATTCTTTTGTATGCATATAAAATACAAGTCAACAAAAGAACTATCACATGGGAAAATTATAAAATATGTCCAACTAATACGACACATATGGTCCACCAATTCTTAAAACATTTATTCCACCACAAATGTCCCACCGATTCTTAAAGCATTGTTCCACCACAAATGTCCCCCCAATTCTATATACTAGGTGATTTCCCTGAACGTTGCGGCGGGAATTTGAAGGTTAATTTTAGATGTATTATGTATGAAGAAACAATCTAAATCAAAAGCTATAAATATTCTAATGTCTAAATTTTTCATACTTGCACTGTGTGAACAAAGAGTATGTAAGTGGTTTGCATGGAGCTGTAAAATAGTGTTAGTGGACTTGTTGAGGTGGAAAGTTGCGTGTTGACAGAATTAGAGTGAGTGAGGATCAACTATTTAGGAATAATGGAAAATATTCCAACATTATAACCAAATGATGCATTTCTTACTTTTGTTGTTCTATTTGTTAGTCTGCATATAAAATACAAGTCAACAAAAGAACTATCACACTTGACAATTAAAAACTGTCAACCTAATACTACGCATGTCCCATCAATTCTTAAAACATCATTCCACCACAAATGCACCATCAATCAAACACATTAAGCTACAAGAGAATGGCGGCCAACTAGTATGGCCACATAGCGCATGCTGGTTGGTTGTGGCAAAAGACTTTTTGATATTTTTGGAAGATGAAATTGAGAAATTTTTTGATTGTTTGAAAGATGAAATTGAGATTTTTTTTTCTTTTGAGAATTTTTTTGGAGATTATTTTTGAAAGATGGAAGTGAAACTTTTGTTTCTTTTTCATTTAAAAAAATGTTTTTTGGCTTTTTTAGATGGATGTGATGTTTACGTGTTGTGAGAAAATTTTCTTTTTAATTTTGAGATGAAATTGAGGTTTTTTCTTTGAGAGGAAAAAAATACATGCACAGCTCCCTCTCAAGAGGCCCTCAATGGCGGGCCCCAACCACTAGTTCTTAATATACTAGGTGATTTCCCATGTATAATTTAAATATAAAGTTTAGATGTATTATGTATGAAGAAAATGATCTAAAACAAAAGTGACAACATTTTAATGTACAAATATTTTGTACTTACATTGTGTGTACAAAGAGTATGCACGTAGTTTACATAAGGGCTGTAAAATAGTGTTAGTAGATACTGACATGGCACATTTGATGAGATAAAAAGCCACATGTTAAGAGAACTAGAATTAATGGGATCAATTATTTAGAAATAGTAGATATTGTAATCTTAAATAAAAGTATTTTGTAGGTTATAGGAAGTGTTTCATTTATACAGTACAAATATCTCTTGTAATTTTATCTTTTTCTGTTCATGGCCCTTGAGCTTACGTTTTACTTGGGCTTATGGTGTTGGAAGGGTTATTTTAACTTCGACTACATTTATATTGTTCTTCTTAGATTAGGGTATCTTCAACGGCGACCCTCAAATCGACCGTATATGTCTGGACCACGTTGTTCGGCCCGCGGAGGCCATCCAACGTGGCCCTATATCGGTCCACAGAGCGATCGGCCGTGTTTTCTCCAGCAAACCGGAGACACACATGAGGGACATTGCGGGCGTCTGGGCTGCTGCCATGCCTGCTTCTGACTGCCTTGGCCCACCCAAACTCCCCATCCGCCCCTCCCGCGCTTTCCATCGTGCACGTCGCGCCGCTTGTCGCGCCACATTCATGCCTGCCCAGAGCATGCAGCGACCGACATTGATGTGTGTGATTTGACCAGACATGAGGGCGGCGCAAACGGACGCAATCTTTTCACTGCCCGCACTAAAGCAGCGCGCCAGTCGAGAGAGCGTCGCTCTCTCCTCGCCCGGCTGAACACGCCTCCTCGTCGCTTTCAAACAGCCACAAACAGCCCGCCTTCCTCCATTAAATCCCAAGTGTGTGCCAAGAAACCTACTTCGG